ATGCTTCTGAAGAGTATAATACTTTTTTTCTCCGAGGAATTTGTTGTAGAATAAAGATAAGAAATAACCAAACTAAATAGGATATATTTAAAAAACATTTTGAAGGCAAAACTAAAGTATTACAAACTAAAGAATTATCTTACGTGTTCATATACATGTAATAGCAATTTTGATGAGATGATGCGACGTAGATAAAAGAGGAAAACAGGTGTATTTGCATTTTTTCTCATAACAGCAGCCGTGTATATTTTGAGTTTAGGCATTGCACAATTTTGTCATAAAAATGAAAATCCGATCGTCGCATACTCGGCATAGTTTAATAGAATTATAGCGTGCAATATTTTTGGAACGTATGCCTGTTATCTCACATGTTCTGGCTTTTCAAATAGCGATGGAACAGAAAATTACACACTACGCATTCATAAAGCAAAGGAAACCGTTAAAAGAAGAATGACCGCAGTTGGAAAATTTGCCAACAAATACGGGGTTCCCCATTTTCTCATTATAGTATGCTATTAGCGAATTACATCATTGGCTATTATTGACACCCTATATGTGACTTCATAAAGTTTGGCACTTGCTCTTCTACTGCTAAGAATTTTCAAGATCACATGTCAGGCGTATTTATGCGGCGTTTGGAAATGGTTTCATAAGCATTTTCCACTAAATCGGTCACCAATTCAAAGTTGTGGGTTGAATTTTTCTTGAAATAAAATAGGGCATGATATGTGATAAAATTTAATGTAAATCAATTAGAAAACTTCATTATTAAGAATAAGATTATGGGGTTTAAAGTTATTTTTTTGTTTATTTTACAGACTATATACACTATATCTGTGTGTGTGCGTGCGTACATACAGCGAAACCCTTTACGTGACCAGGTTCTTAAGATGACAACCTCTAAAAGGAACCATTTATTTCTGAGTACATAAGTAAAGATGGGAATTCATAATTATAATATTATTCTTTACGGGCAATAGAGTACATATAAGGTATGGTCACTTTCCTTAACCTGTTCCGCCAAACTAAGTTAATGGCATTACAGGGTTAGGAAGTCATCCTAGTCGTTGCTAGCAATCTGACGATTAGGCCGCCTTTCTACATTTTACATTAACCTTCAGTTTCTTGGATATAATTCTTTTTCATTCACTTGCTTCATTACCTCTAAGATGCCTTTGTTGCAGTAATAGTCCGTGAACAGTCTATTCACAGGATATGTGATGGAGTCGGAAGGAAAGAACAGCTGTCGAAGGTACTCTGTCAGAAGGTAGGAGAGCAGGTAATGAAGTGCGTCTGCGTCTTCCCCACAAAAACTGCAAGAACAGTAGACGTCCCGTCTGAGGAATCCTCTGTAATACTCTGGTAATTTCCCGTGGTTGGTACAGGCCTGGAGGAAGAGTCGCTTGCATTTGAGCCTCTTGAGTGTAGGTATTGGGAAGATGTTGTAAGTAAATCTTCCTGTCTCTTCTTCCTGCCATCGGGATGACCATGTCTCTTGGAATGCTGTCTTGAGGAGCCTTTTTGCAACTTCTTCGGAAAGCGGAACTTCCTTGTCAATTTCTGGTTTGAGAGCTGCGGTCTTAGCTAGTTCATCAGCTCGTTCGTTGCCTTTCTGCCCGGAGTGTCCTTTTATCCAGTTGATCTTTAAAGGGATGGAGAAGCCTAACGTCAAGAGGATCTCTCTAAGTGCTGCCGTGTGCGGATGTTTTGGAGGAAAGGAATTCAGCGCATTCAGAAAGCTCATACTATTTGTGAAGATTGAAGTGCGAGCTGCTGGTTTAGTAAGTCAGTTACCTGCTACTACTGGAAGATTAACTAATCTTCCGAAAACCTGTAGGCAAACATTTGCATCATGGAGGACTAATACAGCCGTTCTGCTATGTGCATTCCATTGCCTAGACGTCACTGTTTCGCCCGTTTGCAAAGATGTCGCTAGTATCGCTTAGAGAGAAAACAACTGGGTTTGTTCACTATTCTCATATGAAAGTAGGTTCAGTTTGTCATCTTCTTGTGGACGACAAATGATGTGGCAGGAGAGTAATACTCTACCGCCACATCCGGAAATAGTCCGGATGTGGATATAGCTCAGCAAACATACAGGAAAGAGACCGATATCCTACATGTAGTGTCATGGTATGGGCTGGCATCATAATCAACGGCAGTATGTCGCTCTATGTGCTTCCAGCTGGGACTATGACTGGTCAACGATATATTAGTGGTGTTCTGCTGCATCATGTTTGTATGTCCCGTGGTGCTGTGGGTGATAAATTTGTTCTCATGGACGACAACGCAACATATCATCGAGCAGTCTCCGGCTAGAAGTGTCTAGACAGCGAGGATATTCAACATTTGGTATGCCCTCGTACGTTCTCCAGATCGGAATAGCAATGAAAATGTTTGGGATGCTTTGGGGAGGAGTTTTGCTGATCGACAATGCCCACCAATAAACAAAGACGCCATATTCTGTGCACTGACAGAGGAATCGGATAAATTACCCCAAAAGCTGCTGGATAATGTTGTGCAAAGCAAGTCACGACATATGGAATCCTGCATCGCTTTCGATGGTGGTCGATCCCATACTAACATCTTACGCCAGAATGCTTACAGACGGTAATTGCATTCTTTTCATTTTTACGTATTCAGCACAAAATGAGCATTTGGTTCCTTGAACATTTTAAAATCCTTCTGGATTTCAAAGCACAATAAATTATATTTATTTTTATGTCCTAGTATTCTGGGTCTTATTTCCTTTCACTCGGCATCCAATCATACTTACTTTTTTACTCACTATATAGACATTTATGATCCATTGTTAGTGTGTGTGTATGTCCTCCATCAAATGTATGTATATATAGATATATATAATAATTCAAAATCTCAAAACGAAAAAGAAAATGCCGCTTAAATACACTGGTGTGCAAAAATTAAGGTCGAAGTCGAAAAATTAGCATATCAGCTGAACGAAGAGGCAGAGCGGACAGAAAGACCAATCAGGAGGTTAAGTAAGGTGATGTATGGTAGCACATGCGCAGATATGCAGGTAGACGTAATGGGGGAGTGTCTGAGTAGTATAAAGCATGTTGTCGGTGTAAGATCAGTATTTCTGGCAAAGAGATCGCACGCCGTATAGCAGTTAAAATCACACCGAGTTGCTGCCTCAGCGAGAAATGGCGAATAATCAATCTGTTAGACGACATCTGGATGCTTTTACCCGAGGTCGAACATTGGGAAGTTGGAGGAAGGCCGCAGTGTGACAAGTGTGCTGCAGAGTTCGGAATTGCTCACAGCATCGTTTCACGACTTTGGAGACAATTTCAAACTACAGGAACAGCTATCCGGGGGTTTAGTAGTGGTCATCCACGAGGAACGACACCCACATATGATCGGTATATTGCCTTACAGACCAGAAGAAACAGGCGGCAGACAGCGGGAGAAATCGCTAGACACACGACACAGGCGACTGGACGACCGATATCGCGTTTTACCGTGGCCAGAAGACTGCACGGTGGTGGTCTGTTTCCACGACGCCCTGTACGGTGTGTACCTCTAACGCCTGCCCATCGGAGAAGGCGTTCTCTGTGGTGCCGGGAACACCGGAATTGGAGAGACAATGAATGGGGACGAGTACTCTTTACAGATGAGAGCAGATTCAGTCTGAGTAGCCATTCTCATCGCATACTCATCTGGAGAGAGCGGGGAAGCCGCAATCATCCCTCGAACATCATTGAAAGGGACAGGTATGGAGGTGGCGATGTTCTCGTTTGGGGAGGCATCATGCTTGGTAGTCGTACAGACCTTCACATCTTCGACGCAGGTTCAGTCAACGGGACCCGTTATTGTAACGAGATTCTTCTTCCATATGTGCGTCTTTTTAGAGGCGCTATGGGTCCGCAGTTTCTTTTCATGGACGACAATGCTCTTAGAGAGTGAGGATATTGAACGTATGGATTGGCCGGCACGATCTCCGGATCTCAATCCCATCGAGCATGTATGGGATTTTCTAGGCAGACGCTTGGCAGCTCGTACCTTACCACCAGTAACGATTCCGGAGCTTCGATTGGCGCTGCAAGACGAATGGGAAGCAATGCCTCAACAACTCATTGTCACCCTCATTCTCAGCATGGGCAGACGCTGTGAAACCTGCCTAGCAGTCAGGGGAGATCATATCCCCTATTAAAGACCGGATGTTTCTTGCTGGATTGTGTTCCATCACAGGAATGTTTCGGCTTTCAGTCGCATTGCGCTCCATGCTACTTTTTCAATAAAGCTTCCTTTTATCCCTCTGATTTCTCTTTTAGTAAGTGTTGCTTACATTACTCATGTCACTACGTATTGGGGATCTTACGGTATTAAATGCGTTGATTTGGAAAGCTTTTGTACAAAGTTATATTGAAAAAACCGTCTCGTCCTTAATTTTTGCACACCAGTGTATTTCAAGGCCAAACTTTCCTATTATCACCGTGAATTTATATATATATGGTTTATTTTATTAATGTTCTTATGCTTTAACATGTATTTGTCCATCCGAAATACTAGGTATCTGTCATTTGACCCGTATTATTTATGTGACTTTGAGTTTAGCTTCTGGACAATGCTTTTTGAAAATTCTTATCAATCCTTAAGCACAAATTAGCCCTACAACTTAATAATCATCTATATCTAAACATGCAAAAAATTACCGAAACTATATTGTATCAATCAACGAAAGATCATGACTAATGTTTCCCAGTATTATATCACACTTCATGCCATTTAGTGATATTATACGAGAATTGGAATAAATTCTTTCAGACTACATCACGGACTTTCAAATGGTAAAATAGCAAACGATTTGTTAGAAGTTACTGTCTCTGAAATTGCAATGTAAAGACTTAAGTAGAAAAAGAAATGAATGGGGCCAAAGTGTTACTTTCGTTCCTAAAATCCAGATATGTCATTTTAAAAGAGCTAAAACTTTGATGTAAGAAATTCACATATTAAGTGTTATCTCCATTTTACAGTTTTGTTTCTGCCCTTTTTGAAGAATTTCGAATCTCCTCCTCCTTGCCCAGAGAATGAGATGTATAGACATTGTCTCACCAACTGCTCTACTTGCGAAGAGAGAGGGCGGTGCGCCATTCAGAGCTGTTCGGATGGTGGTTGCGACTGCATACCTCGTTATTTTCGACTCACCCCAGGAGGACCCTGTCAGCCCGTCTCCCTTTGCCCGAAACGTAAGTAAAAATACCTCTGAATATCTTTTCAAAATATTTTAGAGCGATTAAATGGTAGAAAACAGTAGAAATAATTAATTTAGTTTGTTTAGTCAATTATGCCAAAGCAATGGTCGAAATGGTTATTTTTTTTTTTAAATATGATAACCGGAATTTTTCGTGATTACAATACTTCCTATACTTCGTACAAGGCAGTAAAAAGTTAAAGTCTTCCTAAATATCACAAACAGAATAACCAAATTGCCATATTTCTGACAACAATTTTAATCAGGAGAGGATAAAACAGGCTTAGAATTTTCGCACATTTTTAAAGGTAATTCCTTCTACACTCATGTCCACAAATTAAGGACAATTCGGAGTCACGCTGAAATCGAACTCTAAAATAAATATATCACCTGTAAAATCACACATCTTCAAGAATCATATGCAAATTTCAGGAAGTAACCAGATGAGCCTCAGACCGGTCTCGTCAGCTCTCTTCAGCCACTGGTACGACAATTTCAAGGCAGACCGTGTACAGACGCTTAGGGCAGATTGCTCTATATGCTCGTAGATCTGTCAGATGCGTTCCAATTACTGCAACTCACTGTCGCCTGCGGTTAGCCGGGAGTAGAGAGTATGCATTGTGGACACCACAACAGTAGGCTTGTGTGATATTTTCCGACGAGTCCCGGATTAGCTTGCAGTCTGATTCTCCCCGGACTTTCATATGGAGAGCTCCACGTACCCGTTACCACCAAGAAAACATCATTGAACGACACCGTTACGGTGGTGCAGGAGTGCTCGTTTGGGGTGGAATTATTCTGGGTTCCAGAACTGACCTGCATGTTCAAATTGGAACCATGACAAGCCAAATCTATCGGGACGTCATTCTGGAACAACATATACGTTTGTTTCGGGGCACCATGGGCGCACAATTTGTGTTTATGGATGACAACGGCCGTCCTCACATCGTAAGCGAATGCCTTCAATCGGAGGATACCACCCGTATGGACTGGCCAGCATTCTCACCGGACTTGAATCCAGTAGAGCACGTGTGGGACATGCTTCGCCGACGAGTTGCAACCCGTCAACCTCCTCCTACATGTCTACCGGAACTTCGGAGAGCATTGCTTTTTGAGTGGTGTAATATACCCCAAGATCAGATCGATAATTTGATGTTCAGCATGCCTAGGCGTTGTACGGACTGCATTGCATCGTCTGGGAGACATACAATGTATTAACAATCATACCAACCATGTAATATTGGTTTTTTGTAAATAGGTTTTTTTTTTTGTAATTTGCTCCAGGGAGAAAAAAATCGCTAATTTTTTAATAATATCAAACATATAGCATCTTTTTTTGCTCTTTACCTTTTGTTTAATAAATAAGCTTTACAAATAAGTCAAATTTGTTTTGCTTCTAACTCTTCCTTTGCCTGATTTTGCATTATCCTTAATTAATGGACATGAGTGTAAATGTGGGGAGAAAGATGTTAATTCATATCTATCTTGCCTTTACAGCCGAGTGCGGGGAAAACGAGGTATTTCGAGAATGTGGTCCCCTGTGCGAGACCTGCGGTACTTACAGATGCCGTGTCATTCAGTGTGATTACAAGTGTTACTGTAAGCAGGGTTATCTTCGAGACAAAGACGGAAAGTGTGTGCCAGAGGAGGACTGTCCAAAGAGTAAGTAGTCTACTTTCCTCTTAAAATATTCTTTACCTTGTAGGGTTTCTTTTAGTTAAGTAACCTTTTATTCAAATTGTTGTTATCCTTCCTGAACTCCTCAACTTCCCCTCGCATTTCCTCGCCAGGATGTAAATTTAAAGTTAAGTGAAGTGTGCATTTAAACGGATGAATCTTGGAGTTTATTCAGAGCCTATTTTCTCTAGCCAGCGCACGGTCGTATCTTGCTGTTACGCTAATACGCCCCCTCGGCCATTTCGAATCATTGTCACGCCTGTTAGGTTTCTTGAGTCATCCTAAATTAGTCCTAACTTAATGTGCTAATACAGCACTATTTTATTTAGATTTGAATTGATTTCTGTAATAAAGTTTAAGTTCCACCGCAAATTGTCGGTGTGATTGTAAAGCATTGTGCCCTACTGTTATCAGTTGCAGGGCTGCGGAGTCGGAGTCATGCAGTCGGAATCGGAGTCGGGCAGATTTTGGGGTAAAAGGAATCGGAGCTGGAGAAGCTAAAAACGGGTCCACTCCGACTCTAGTTTTTGTTGGACAGTTTGAATTTGAAATGAAATTAAAGTGAATTGAAAAAACATTCATGAAAAACTGAGTTATTTTTATTTATGGACTATATACATTTGTAGAGTTCCTCACTTTGGAATTCTAACTTAATGTTGGAAGTGAAGAATCTAAGAACTGATAGCGAATAATCGCTTGAGTTCGGTGACAATAAACAACAAGATAGAAGGGTAACTAACCCTTTACTATTCCAATAAGATTTAACAAAACTCCGTCTGGGAGTGTACAAGCAAAGCCCGCACTTGAACTTAAAAGACTAAGAATTAAACTAAAACTAAGATTAACTAAAGAAGTATAGCCGAAGCTATCAAGGTTCAAATCGAGTTGACCCCTTAACTTATTTGACTACGAAGCTCAACAAGTGCCTGAGTACGGCCGAGCGTAATAACAGCTTTGAGAGAGAGAGTGGCCAAAAAGGCAGACGCGCGTAAATCAGAAACTCTGATTCTCTCTTCCAGTAACTTTGTGGTTTAAATACCGCTCTTCCTCATTAAATATTCAGCAAGTTTCCAAAACTACGTTCTGGCCGGAAGTAGTAAGTTGAAGTTAAGAATTTGACAGGAAAGGAACTTTAACTTAAAATTTAACTGTTAATAAAATTAACATAATCCTTACACATTAATAAATAGTTATTTTCTATTTTATTGACATATTGATAAATAAATATAAGGGAGGAGGATGAATGTGATATTTTCCATTAGTCACTAAACTGATTCCTTTAGTTACACCATTTAGCTACAAATGTCACTGGTAAATTTAGGTAAGCAGTAATAGAAGCAAGAACTCCCAAAATTGATGCCATTCTTAGGAAGCGAGCAGGAAAAGGAACAATTATTGATCAAGCAACGCGATGGAGAAGTACATATCTGATGATATAGAGGTTGTTAGAGTTAAGAACGTTTTTAGAAGATGTAGATATGTAAGGATCTTAAGTTTTACTAACGTTTATTTTATTTTAAATCTTTACTATCACTTCTTATTTTCTACTTCCGGCCAGAATTAAAAGCGTTAACTTATTTATGCAAAATTTGTCTGGCGAACGCCAAGTACTTAAGTTGTGGCTTTTTGGCAAGCGAGAGAGAGGAAGGAGTTAATCGAAGCAGGCCGCTTACCTTAGAAGTTTTACTCAGTTGCTGGTTGCCTTCCAGGCCAGAGGTTTAATCCTCTTGATAATTTTTTTAAACGTATTGTAGTGCTAACAGTTCTCTGTACTACATACGGCTTCCTGTTAATATAAGGCCAATCTTCCACGTTTATTATTTCAAAGTTAAGAGTTTAGTTATATTTTCATATTCTTACGTTTAGACCACAAGTAGTGGGTCTTTGTATTCCGAAGTACGGAAATTATTGTAAAGAGAGAAAAATAAAGGGTTTTGTATACCCTTCTTGTGTATCCTGTCTACTTCCCACAGTTATTGAACATAGCTTTAAACTCTCTGTTCCGAGTCAGGTTCTTGCATGTTCCCAAAGAAAGTAAGACGGAACATTGAACCTGATAGATAATCCTAATGTTTCACTAACAGAAAGACTGTGGAATGATCTTTCAGAATTGGAAACTCTTCTTTCTACGCCGTATATAACGACAAAAAAGCTACAATCTGAAGAATTCAGAGAAGAGGCGAGAATGGAAGAATCTGATGTTTGGTTCTTTCTGAAATGAGGAGAATGATTTCTTCAATGAAGAAAAGAGAAACTAGTTTGCTAGACAATGACATTTTGCTGGGTTCAATATACATAGATCCGAAGCACTGAATTTTGTTTGATGATGAACAAATTAAGAAGGCGATGAAAGCACTCTATGAACTTTCAAGAAGAATGAAATTATTTTGAGAACAATTGCAGTATTGAAATCAGGACAGTCAAACTGCAGACATTGCAACTGGGTCTCTGTCATCCTCTTCCAGTGATGAATTAGATTTTGAGACATATTTTTGGATAATATAAGGTTAAAGCAAAGCAAATGAAAATAAAGAACCAAAAGCCTTTAGATAAAAAAATGAAAGCAAGATTTCTACACGGCCTTTGGAAAAATAGAGACATATGACTGCTCTCGCAAGAAGAACTTATAAAAGTCTATCCTAAAAAGTTAAAAGAAGTAGCCCTAACAGTAATAGCTCTTCCTCCTTCTCAAGTTATTCTACGCTACGAGAGTCGATAGCAAGTTGACGGCCGCCAGATGTCGCTGCTAGTAAAAAACAGGTCTGCCCGACATCCTATATTACGTTGTCGAAACGGAAGTTGTCGAAAGTGCGTGAAAAAGTGTTGCCGCGTCGTCAATCAGGGTTGTGCAGTTGACGTACTAAGTAGACAATGGCTTTGTATGTGTTTTCGCCGCTGATTTTTTCATATTTAAACGAAGAATACTGTCGTAGATCTCTGAATCGGTGGCGAATTTATAGAAAATATGTTTATACTTTTGCTCTGCCAAAAAATGTTTTCATTGCGTATTTCAGATAGCCAAAATTTATAGTTATTTTAATTTGCGACGAACTGAGAGAGTATTCGGAGCCACATTCAGAAAGCAAGAACGCAGTTTCTACTGAAAGAAAGGTTATACTATTCCTGAAATTATAGATATAAATTGTAATTGTATGCTTTAAAAATATAGAAGATAATAAGTTTATCAAGCACATAAACCTTCTTCATTTAGTACAAATATAGACATCCGATAAGCTTCTATACGATTTATATGCAGCAAGAATTACGTTTACTTTAAAATCTAGCAGTTGAATACCTTACGAGTAATACCGTGAACACACAAAGGAATGTCGTTCATTATTACGCGAAATTCACACTATTGTAAAATTAAAATTAAAAAAAAAAAAAAAAAAACTATAAAATAGCTTTATAATATTTTTCTCAGTAGCTGTACTACTACTAGTGTGATACTTTTAAAAGTAAGTTTTAGCCCAGAGGGCCTATTAATTTCGTTTTGCCATTTTGTGGCGTTTCACGATAAATGGCGTTTCACTTTTCAAATTGTGGCCACCAAGTATTATCGCACTCTATTATATTTAAAGAAATTAAATAATGAGGAATCTGCAGAATGTATGAATGTTTCTCGCACTGTGATAAAACAACGGTACCTAGAGCCATGAAATTCTGAATAACGTAATCCTCCATCCTAATACAGGCATCTGGAGGCCCAAATTTGAAACTGGGAATTTGTTTTATTATCTATTTCATATTTTGTAAAGCATTTATGAGTTTTTAATTAAGAAACCCGACGATTTCAAAGCGAGCAATGGCAACATTGTACGGAAAAAAAAACATTTTCATCTCTAGCGCACGAGACTATGTATCGGAAATTCTAAAGATATGCTTCTTATAAATTATATGATATTGCTGTTGAATTGAATTTTATGGTTTAAGTGTGAAAAACATGATATTTAATAAATAAAGGTAACGCGCAAAACGTTAAAAAAATGGCCCTTTGGAAGTAATATAAAAAATCTAAAGGCTTTCAGACTTCTTTTTTTTTTTTTTTCTTTTTGTGTGTGTGTGTAATTTTATTATGTTTTAAAACTAGTTTCTAAGTGAGGTCTTTCTAAGGGAAACTGGCTCGTATATACATTACACATGGGGAAACCCACGAAAACGCCGACCAGCTCGTTCGCGGGATTCGAACCTCGGACCAAACTACCTGCGTTCAGCGACTCTACCGCTCGGCGACTGGTAGGCTTGTTAGCAGAATTATACTGCATTATTATTGTATTATGCTATAAAGTAACAATGCTATAAGACTGAGGGTTTGTTCATGGAATAGTACTTTTGTAACCTATTACAGTATTAAAAAATCATTGTTTCTTTGCAAACTTAAAAAAAAAAAAAAATACTGTTCATAGCATTTTCATTTTTATATTGTAAAAAAGATATTGATTATTATTAGTTTTCTATTTAAAATGTGTCGAAACGCTGGTTTGACAAGGACCTCAACTGCAGGAGACTTTAGTACTTGCATTGTGAAAATATTACTATCTTTTAATTATTTTCAGAGAATAAAATCTTTTGAGAAGGAAGAATATTTAAACTGAGCAGCTCTTATATATATAAAAAAATTAAAATAACAGCAATGTAATATTTAAAAAAAAAGGTATTAGTAATTGTGTGACAAAAATTGCAAAATGAATTAATCACACATACAGGATAGATTAGTTTAATTTTGGTTATGTATTTTATATTGAAAAAATATTTTCTTTCGTGTAGAATAAATTATTTAAAATAAAGCATTTTGATGGTGTGTGATAGTTGAATGTAGCCATAGCGAATGAATTTTATTTCTTTTCCTGAAAGAAATAATTTTCATAGAAAAAGAAAATATAAAAAAGGGAAGAAATATAGCATTGTAAGTAAAAAAGGGAAGTCTTATAGCATTGTAAGTAAAATGCGTATAATTTAATATTCCGTACAAGGAAGTCATGTGGTGTACACATCAGATTTTTGTTTAGATGGTACTTTAATGTGTCAAAAGGTTGAGAACCGCTGGTCTAGAATTCGAGTACCGGTGAGGATTTCATTGACTTTTCCTTATTTCCTGATTCGAAAATTTTGGTACACTCGGCCGTAAGCTGTATCAAGGGAATTTCCGTTTAAATACATATTAAACATAAAAATAAATTTTTGTAAATAAACTAACAAAAATGTGTCATCGTAAATGTAAAAAAGGATCCTGACTACGCGAAAATGTTGTATAGTATTAAACCCCCACCCCTGTGCATCAGTATCGAATTTAACCCATCGAAGGACCTAGGAATAATTTTGGTTGTTTTTAGTTTCGTCTTATGTACAGACGGAATTATAATCTATAATATTAAGCGTTATTTATTTAAATAATTAAACAGTTAAAAATTCAGTATCTAAATAGTAAAAGAAAGTTTTATTTCAATAAAAGTACCGCAGTAGCTTCTACGAAAAATTGTACGCAATTTAGAACGAATTTTAAAATGCGTGGAATTTATCAATGTTGTGTTAATAAATTTTACGAATCAGTTACTGAAGTTAAACTAAATAAACTTGAAAGTTGGAACTATTAGAATATTTGAAGTTCTAAAAAGGTAACTCTGTAAAAATTTTGAAACGATTTTCCTTTTTAACTGTCTCCTGAAACTACTTTGCCTGAACACATAACTTTATCGTAAAACGTGCAAAAGCGGTCATTTTATTAAAATGATTTTTTCTTTAGTTTTATCTTAAATCTAATAAGAAATTAACAGATAAATGTCTGCCTTTGCATAGTCACTCAGTAACCTAGCAGATGAATATTATTTCAACTTACCACACTTACAAAATGTTACAACAACTTTATTATTTTATTATTTACAACAATATTATTTTCTACATTATTCTACTTTATTATTTACAACATTATTATTTTCAACAACTTACAAAATATTATTACAACTTACGACTTTTGCTCTTTAAATTCATACCTACTTTAAAAATCTTTTGTCTTTCTTTGGGAAAATAAATCTTCTTGGATTCATGGACAAGAAGCAGCAATACATTCCAGATGAAGAAAATGTGTAAAAGAAATTTAAGAAAAAAAAAAAAAAAAATCTGTAAGGTTTTAGATTTTAAATAACATCCAAAGGGGCGTCTGTTTTTAACGTTTTGTGTGTTACCTTTATTTATTAGATATCATGTTCTTCGCACTTAAACTATAAAATTCAGTTCAAGAGCAATATCGCAAAATAATTTTAAATTGAGCATAACTTTAGAATTTCCGATGCACAGTCTTACGCGCTGGAGATACGTAGGTAAGTTGAAAAATAAGTTTTCCCTGTCGAATGTGGTCAGAGTTGTGTATGAAAGTCAAAAAATAGAATGAGACATTCTATGATCGTACGTATTCACGCGTATTCTATGATCACTGGATCTGTCTACAACTTGAGCGAACAATATTGACTCAAAAAACCGGTATGGACAGCCATCACAACGTATCGGAGAAAGCCATTCTGTGGTCAACACGCAGCAGAATATGCTGCTGTGTTATGTGAAGGAAAATCCCGTTTTTTAAGGGGAAAGTTAACGCAGGAATTTAGAGCTAAGAAATAAAGAGTGATATGGGATACCACGAAAGCAATGGTAAATAGATAAGAGTAAATGAATTAAGCTTACTTCAGATCCTTTTAGAAATAAACAATTTTAATCATTTAAATTTATAATATGATTAATTTGCAATACAATCTAATAGCAAACTAAGTTTTTTTTTTTTTTTTTTTTTTTTTTTCTTTTCCATGCTTACATTAAAACTGTTTTTTTCCGTAATTTACAGTTACTATTGGAAAATATTTCTTTAAACAAGAAATTACAAAGAAAATATTTCTTTCTTTATATTTCTTCCCTTTTTTATATTTTCTTTTTCTATGAAAATTATTTCTTTCAGGAAAAGAAATAAAATTCATTCGCTATGGCTACATTCAACTATCACACACCATCAAAATGCTTTATTTTAAATAATTTATTCTAACGAAAGAAAATATTTTTCAATATAAAATACATAACCAAAATTAAACTAATCTATCCGGTATGTGTGATTAATTCATTTTGCAATTTTTGTCACACAATTACTAATACCTTTTTTTTTAAATATTACATTGCTGTTATTTTAATTTTTTTATATATATAAGAGCTGCTCAGTTTAAATATTCTTCCTTCTCAAAAGATTTTATTCTCTGAAAATAATTAAAAGATAGTAATATTTTCACAATGCAAGTATTAAGTCTCCTGCAGTTGAAGTCCTTGTCAAACCAGCGTTTCGACACATTTTAAATAGAAAAACTAATAATAATCAATATCTTTTTACAATATAAAAATGAGAATGCTATGAACAGTTTTTTATTTTTTTTTTTTTTTTTTTTTTTTTTTTTTTTTTAAGTTTGCAAAGAAACAATGATTTTTTAATACTGTAATAGGTTACAAAAGTACTATTCCATGAACAAACCCTCAGTCTTATAGCATTGTTATTACATTTTATATTTCATTTCTTATTGGATTAAATTAAATTTACTTCGCCGACAGCGCATAAACCACAATAGAATAAATTCATTCTTTAAAATTCACTCTAGTATTTGTTTACCATAGCGACACTCTGGGGCTACATTCACTTAACAGTATTATATTTCGTTCCTATTATAACTCAGAATGCACAAAATTTATATCATTTAAAGAATAGAATTATCTAATCGTTCCCACATGTTCTATTCAAATACTATAATAAAGCTAGAATGGTGTATAAAAGAAATTAAGCAAACAAAACAAAAAAGGAACAGTTTTTCACAGACGATTGAGTATTTCTCATTCAATTAATTCAGTTCTCACTTCGCGAGAAGGCAAAAATACATAAAAACTCAAAATATCTATATTAAAAATTACGAAGTAAATCTTAAACGCTTATTTCCTCGAAAAAATTCCAGAAAGGATTAAGCATGATTTAATTGCAATAATAAATGCAGGCGTTACCTTTGTTGTTGCGAAGCTAAGTTTCTCTAGATTGGCAACACTACTTCTACCTCTAGTCTGCTGTTTCAAATGTAAACAATCAATGGCCGCCATAAAAAAAAAGGCTCAGCGGCACTTAAGCAACTTTAAAATTGATGATAATTCTAAAAATATTGCATACATATTTATTAAAGGCATAAAAAATACCTTAACCGGAAGATAAAAACAACATAATTCAATCATTTTTAAAGCAAAAAATGTACAATTTCCAAATATATAAGAGTAAAGAAACTGAGATCACTGAGCCGGGTAACAGAGTGGATATATATATAAATATATTTATATACGTTTGGTGCGGCCGATTGCAACCAAGATACGAGGTGCACATCTACATGTTATAGCAGTCCTATATACAAAATTTCAACGTTCTGAAGCTATTCGTTTTTGAGTTATGCGAGATACGTACGTACGTACGTATATACATTCGTACAGACGCCACGAAAAATTTTCTTCAGAATTCATTTTAAAGCAGTTTTATAATTTTTTTGGAAGAAACGAGTCTTTTTATTCTGTCCTTACGTACAGATATCATGCAAAAACACCGTTAAATTGCATTCGATAGCAGTCAAAATGGATATTTCGTTGAAATATGCTGCCTGAAACTTTTCGCGATTACAATACTTCCTTTTTACTTCATACAAAGATGTAAAAATTAAAAAACTTCAGTACCACGATTACATTTTACAATGATTATTCTTCAATTTCTCAAATATTAAAAAAAAAAAAAAAAAAAAAAAAATTGCCATTTGCACAACCTGTTGGCTTTTTGTATTAAATATGCACACGTAAAGAATATTCGATTCAAAATTGGTTACCATTTTAATTACCAAAATTTAAGTTATAATATTTAATTCCAAAATTTAGAGTGAAATTTTGGCCGGTTAAAAAGAGATCGTCTGGTCTTATTTCACTTAGTTTTAACCGCAAATTAGGATCCAATCATAATTTTGTTCCGTATTTACTTTTCAAACATAACGTGGAAGAAAGTCCTTGTTCACACAAATAGTTTTTGCTAAAAGCAATAAAAATTGAACACTTTTATTTGAAGTGCCTTTAAGTTTTTTTTTTTTTTTTTTTTTTTAGGTTTAGCGAAATGTTAACATGTCTGTTATTTTTGGAATCTTCAGTTACAGTTCGATCACAGGAAATTTCTATTAACTGTTCTCTTTCTTCACGGCCCACCAGCGGCCGATCGGTAAAGTCGCTGAACACTGGTAGTTCGGTCCGAGGTTCGGTTCGAATCCCGCGAACGGGCTGGCTGCATGGGTGTTTTCGTGGTTTTTCCCATGTGTAACGTGTATAGGAGCCAGTTCCCTTAGAAAGTCCTCCACGAAGGCATTCCTTCCCTTAGGCAGATAGCCCTAGTGTGCTTTGCCATAATTAAATACTCCGAACACCTTTCTTCACGAGATTTTTTAATTGAATTTTGATGAAGAATCGCTGCTCTAGATCTTTCGACTGCTAACTGGACGTGCTTCCAATTACACCATGAAGGCATACGGTGAGAAAAGAACAGGAACGAATAAAGTTCCGTAAAGTTCATTGTATCTAAGTATTATTGCTCTTTCTATACTCCATTTAATTTTCCAGGAATAACGAACTTTATTGTATTTCTGTAATTATTTAATTATTGCAATGATCTAATTTAAGTGAATCTTAAGCTCATTCTAATTTTGAGGATGCATACCACAAGTTTTTTATAAATAAACTAGGGCGATTAAACACCTCTTTTTTCTCCCCCCCCCCAGGAACACACTGTTCTCGTGTGGAAGAATGGGCGGAGAGCGGACCGGTAGACGAATTTTGTATGAGAGCTGAATCAGCGACCGACTCCAATGAAACTCAAGAAGTGGAACAATGCTATTGCAAGGAGGGTTACAAAAGGAACACAATGGGGCATTGCGTTCATGAACGATTTTGTGCAATTAGTAAGTTTTTTTTTTTTTTTTTTTTTTTTTTTCATTTTCGCAATATAAATGAGAGCAGTAATAATAATATTAACAATCTATATGTTTTCTTCACCGCATTGAACTCCGATTGTTATTTAATGACAACAGATCTGCGTAAACTGTTTCCTATTTACATTTAGTTTTTAATTCTCAAAACTTGTGTGAATTGCATTAGATGGGTCAATAGCTCAAATTTATGTTAATTGCATTAAACGTATCTCTAGTTCATATGATTTAAATGTACACTAAAGTATGAAATTTTATAAATTAATTGCTCCCAGAAGAGTAGACAAATTTCTTTCTAATCCTTATATTAATTTTATTGGCTTGAAAAAAAAAAAAAAAAAAAAGAGAGAAAAAAATAATAATTCAGACGATACATAATTAAATATATGCAGCGGAACATATACACTGGTGTGCAAAAATTAAGGACGAGACGGTTTTTTCAATATAACTTTGTACAAAAGCTTTCCAAATCAACATATTTAATACCGTAAGATCCCCAATACATATGGACATGAGTAATGTAAGCAACACTTACTAAAAGAGAAATCAAAAGGATAAAAAGAAGCTTTGTTGAAAAAGTAGCATGGAGCGCAATGCGACTGAAGGCCGAAACACTCCTGTGATGGGTGTCCAGCAAGAAAAACATCGGTCTTTAATAGGGGATATGATCTCCCCTGACTGCTAGGCAGGTTTCACAGCGTCTGCCCATGCTGAGAATGAGGATGTCAATGAGTTGTTGAGGCATTGCTGCCCATTCGTCTTGCAGCGCCAATCGAAGCTCCGGAATCGTTACTGGTGGTAAGGTACGAGCTGCCAAGCGTCTGCCTAGAAAATCCCATACATGCTCGGTGGGATTGAGATCCGGAGATCGTGCCGGCCAATCCATACGTTCAATATGCTCACTCTCTAAGAGCTGTTCGGCAGCTACTGTGCGATGACATGGTGCATTGTCGTCCATGAAAAGGAACTGCGGACCCATAACGCCTCTAAAAAGACGCACATATGGAAGAAGAATCTCGTTACAATAACGGGTCCCGTTGACTGAACCTGCGTCGAAGATGTGAAGGTCTGTACGACTACCAAGCATGATGCCTCCCCTAACGAGAACACCGCCACCTCCATACCTGTCTCTTTCAATGATGTTCGAGGGATGATTGCGGCTTCCCCGCTCTCTCCAGGTGAGTATGCGATGAGAATCGCTACTCAGACTGAATCTGCTCTCGTCTGTAAAGAGTACTCGTCCCCATTCATTGTCTCTCCAATTCCGGTGTTCCCGGCACCACAGAGAACGCCTTCTCCGATGGGCAGGCGTTAGAGGTACACACCGTACAGGGCGTCGTGCAAACAGACCAGACCACCACCGTGCAGTCGTCTGGCCACGGTAAAACGCGATATCGGTCGTCCAGTCGCCTGTGTCGTGTGTCTAGCGATTTCTCCCGCTGTCTGCCGCCTGTTTCTTCTGGCCTGTAAGGCAATGTACCGGTCATCTGCGGGTGTGGTTCCTCGTGAACGACCACTACTAAACCCCCGGATAGCTGTTCCTGTAGTTTGAAATTGTGTCGAAAGTCATGAAACGATGCTGTGAGCAATTCCGAACTCTGCAGTCACACTTGTCACACTGCGGCCTTCCTCCAACTTCCCAATGATTCGACCTCGTGTAAAAGCATCCAGATGTCGTCTAACAGATTGATTATTCGCCATTTCTCGCTGAGGCAGCAACTCGGTGTGATTTTAACTGCTATACGGCGTGCGATCTCTTTGCCAGAAATACTGATCTTACACCGACAACATGCTTTATACTACTCAGACACTCCCCCATTACGTCTACCTGCATATCTGCGCATGTGCTACCGTACATCACCTTACTTAACCTCCTGATTGGTCTTTCTGTCCGCTCTGCCTCTTCGTTCAGCTGATATGCTAATATTTCGACTTCGTCCTTAATTTTTGCACACCAGTGTATGTGCCACTAAATTTACTGCTGTTACTCACTAAAAATTCTGCTGTTACTCACTAACAATTACTGCTGTTACTCACTAAAAATTACTGCTGTTACTCACTAAAAATTACTGCTGCGTTAAAAAGTACTTAGAATCTCCCGAATGTTGGTGATCATCTTCCAATATTTAGAAAATAGCCACCCAGACGGTATAGTCGTTAGGACAGCCGACTGCGACAGCAAATGGCCCGAGTTCGAATCTCGCAGAAGGCATCGTTGTAACTGTCCGTCCATTGATAGAAGGCAAAGGTGGCCTACCTGTTACGTGTCTTCATAATAAGGTGACCGTCACTTTCGACTTCAAGACGAAGTCAGCTGATGGCTTGCCATTGGTTAAACACAAATGAACAGAGAGAAACAAAGAAATATGAGTTGCCAAATGTTGGGATACGCAAAGAATGCTTTACCCTGTACCATCCTAGAGCGGTGTGACTCTAGTAGTCCGGGGGGGGTAGCGTCTCGGACTCGCTGGGTAATGTCCCACTGCGACGGGCAGCACCAGCGACTGGCAGATAGCAAATTGTCGGCCAGTGTCACTTTAAGCGATGCGTTCTTCTTTCCAATGTGCGAAGGCGGAGGTTTAACCACGGCTCAGGCAAACTCGAAACGTTCGCAATAGGGTTCCCGCGTGTGATCGCTAGCCCGGGGTGGTAATTTTCCGATTTTCGAACACATGAAAAGTTCTAATAGTGTCAAAAAATTTAGCAGTGACAGTTCGCAGGTTAGTAAAGTCTAATGAGTCCGAAGGGAACACCACCTGCTCTGCAGGCCGAAGTTGAAGAGTAAGTGCGTACATAAACCAATTATATAACATGATCGAAGGAATAAAGATATGCCTTAACGCAATACACTCTTTGCCTGTATTCCTTATATATCATTGTCTTACACTCTCGTCATTGTGACGTACCATCGGTGTCATCTGGTTACTTCCTGAAATTTGCATATGATTCTTGAAGATGTGTGTAGTGATTTTACAGGTCATATATTTATTTTATAGATCGATTTCCGCGTGACTCCGAATTATCCTTAAGTTATGGACATGAGTGTAGTTAACTATTATTAGTAGAATTGTAATTAAAATTGTTTTATTTGCTCGTTAAATGCAGCGCGTGATGAATTTTAAAAGAAAACTACGCCAGAAAAGCAAAAATACAAGAGCACGTGCATTTAACATTTAATAAAAGTTTATCTCCGTAATGGATATTTAATTTGAATAAATGTAATTGACTACAGTGTTAACTGCAACCTTAATTCTACGCTTTTCGCTTTCGAGAAATTGCTAGAACTCTCTCGTGCGGCCGATTTAAAAAGCTATAAAAGCCAGAGACAGAACATCTCAGCTGAGTTGTTGTTTTTAGTGAGCTGTTGTTGTTTATTCAGCTGCTGTAAATTTTAATCGGGTTAGCTTTCTCTGCGCTTTGAATTGTGTTCTATTTAATGTTTCAGTAGATTAAAATATTACTGTCTACTGATAATATTGCGTGATATTGCGATACTGTACGAATATCTTCGAGGAAACATCCAGCGTTTTGTTATATTTCTTGTGATAAGAATAAATTTTACTAACGTTTATCGGACTTACACACCTATTATTCTGGAATTTTTCCAGAATAATAGGTGTGCTTATGTAAGGCAATCGCTACGTGTGGGACATACGTATCCCACCATTAACTACGGCTGGGACATATGTGTTCTAGCCTTTGCCTTGAAAATTGTTTGCCAAAAAAATCCCAAAGGCTAAATTAAACTTTTTTATGGCAAATTTGTTCACTTGGTTAGAAAACGGGGTAATTTTTTAAGAATTAGTAGTCAAAGGGTTAAAACTAAGGACAGTCGTAAAAGGTCCTCCGATACTTTATTTCCTCAAATAACTAATCGAAGCACTTTTCAACAGGCATTTTCATAGCAAAATAGTTAATGGTTTTTATATTTTTAACAATAAATATACAAATTAAGTTTATACGTTAAAAGTGAATTACGCACCGTTAAGAATATCGAGCATTCAATGATCGTGTCAAAAGCGAAATTTTATTCATTTCGCTAGATCTGCAATTCTTTTTTCCCTCAGTTAATACTATTTACGGTATAGTATTCAATGCTTTGAATTTCTCCTCCAGAGATATTGCAACACTCTATAGTGATTGCAAATACAGTCAAAAGTCGTTAATTCGGACGCCCATAATTCGGAATGATCTATAATCCGGACTTCAAAGCTAAAAACTTTCTGCGCATGCGCCGCGTTGACACATGCGGATAGGCGATTACGCGTGCACGTAAGACCTTTTACGTCTGCGCATATGCGTGTGCGCAAGTGCAGAATACGTTTTCGCGTGCGCGTTTTATGTATAACGGACGGAATAAGCTAAAATTATCTAATTATCTATTTCAGTTAATGTTGATGATTGTGTTGTTCCTTAATTTTCGAATTGGATCCGGCTTATTATTTTTTGCAGACTGTAAGAGCAATACTATAAAAGTAAACTTGAACTTTCGAATTATATCAAATAGAATTCGATGCTGGAGTCTCCCAATGATCTACAAAACGAAAGTATGTTTCGATGTCCATCAAAACAAAAAGTGGAATTGCTGCAAAAAAAAAATGGATAATAAAGACATGAAGAAGGTGACAGAGAGGTTAGTGAAAAACGAAAAAATTTCGATTGACAAGTTAGTCGGTATTCTCGGCAGAGCAATTACGGGACTTGAACAGCGGAACTTTCGTAACTAAACAAGAAATTATGTCTGTTTATAGAATTAAAGAGAAAGTAATTATCACATAAAACGAAGCAACTTAAACAACTTACATGAAAGGTTTAATAAAGTAAAACAAATAAATATTAAGCTTTTTTTTTTTTTTTTTGTAAATTTTGATACCCTTTAGATCATAATTGTTCTTTATTTCATAAATTACGGTTTCATATTTTTAATTTTAGAATTTCTGCATGTCATCTTACGAGATTGAAACTGATGATCTATAATCCGGAATCGCCGAAGTCCCGATGAGTCCGGATTAACGACTTTTGACTGTAGTACCATTCCCGCGCAATCCACTCCTATTTAAGGCCCGGGTATGATATTTATATCGTGTACGAAGGCACTTTTAACGACCAAAGAATTTAATTTCATGCAGCGATCTTTGCATAAGTTGGCCAAACCTGTCACAGAAACATAAACCAGATATCATTCCCAATCACCAGGACATCATCAATGTTCGTCTTAATATTTCTGTTGTTTTTAGCAACAAAACAAAACAAAACAAAACAAAAACAAAAAAAACAAAAAAAACGGAAATTATTTTAGTTTGGTTGCTTAAAACTTTTAATCGCTCTACAGTGACAATACCCCATTTTGTGGGCCGAAGACAGTTGTCAAAAGTAAACAGCGTAACATTTTAATTCGTCCAGAAAATAGACTTGCATCGGAATGAAGTACAAACCAGCTTTCCAAGTTTGACTTTAAGGACTTTAAGGACAAAGGGTGTCCAGTGGGAATGCTGTTACGATAATTCCTGTGGCATCCACGATGTTCAAGGCCTAGTGGGCGTAGATTATTGGATTAATTCTTATAATTAGCGATAATGGCGATCCGGATTATCAGGAAGACAATTTAGAGTAATATTGATTATACCTTATAAAGTAATTAAGACACCTTAAAGTATTTCTTCTCCCTTCTTAGCATGAATTTGTGGTGTAGTGGTCAGTAAGCTAGGTGCATATTCGAGAGGCCCGAATCCCGGCGAAGGTGCCGTTCATTTTTCATATTTCCTGCTATCAAGAATACATAATATCTCTACAGTGGCGCCAGAATAAAAGGTGGTGAATGATGATTCTTCACCACTAGGATTTGGCGATTGAGTTCCCTAAAACCCCAGTTGCCCTTTAAAAGGTGAGGTATATAAGATATTTCTCCCTTCTTAGCATGCTTTCGTGGTGTAGTGGTCAGCACGCTCGACGGGAATTCGAGAGGTCCGTGGTTCGAGTCCCGGCGAGGGCGTTGCTCATTTTTCACGTCTCCTGCTTTATAAAAATCTGATGTGTACACCACATGACTTCCTTGTACGGAATATTAAATTATACGCATTTGTTTCTTGCATAAATTTTAAACTTATTGGATTAAATTAAATCTACTTCGCCGACAGCGCATTAACCACAATAGAATAAAGGCATTCTTTAAAATTCACTCTATTTGTTTAACATAGCGGACACTCTGGCGCTAGGTTCACTTAACAGTATTATATTCGTTCATATTATAACTAGAATGCACAAAATGTATATCATTTAAAGAATTATCTAATCGTTGCCACATGTTCTTTTCAATACTATAATAAAGCTAGAACGATGTAAAAAAAGAACTCACGAAAAAAAAAAAAAAAACAGTTTTTCACGGACGATTGAGATTTCTCATTCAATTAATTCAGTTTTCACTTCGCGGCAAGACAAAAATACATAAAGCTCAAAATATCTGTATAAAATTACTATTAAAATTAAATTACTAATTATTAAAAATTAAGTAAATCTTAAACACTTATTTCCTCGAAAAAAATTACAGAAAGGATTAAGTATGATTTAATTCGCAATAATAAATGAAGGCGTTATTTTTGTTGTTGCGAAGCTTAGTCTCTGTAGATTGGCAGCAAATCTACAATTCTGCTGTTTCAAATGTAAACAAATATGTCCGCCATGTTATTTAAAATTTAACCGCACTTAAACAGCTTTTAAATTGTTGATAATTGTACAAATATTGCTTCCAGAATTACGAAAGGCATAAAAACTTTAACCGGAAGATAAAAACAACATAATTCAATTATTTTTAAAGCAAAAAATGTACAATTTACAAGCATATAAGAGTAAAGAAACTGAGATCACTGTGCCGAGTAACAAAGTGGATATATATATATAAAATACGTTTGGTGCGGCCGATTGCAACCCAAATACGAGATGCACATCTAGATGTTATAGTAGTCCTATATACAAAATTTCAACGTTCTGAGGCTACTCGTTTTTGAGTTATGCGAGATACGTACGTACGTACATACGTTCGTACAGATGCCACGAAATATTCTCTTCAGAATTCATTTTAAAGCAGTTTCATAATTTTTTTGAAGGGAAAGATTCTTTTATTCTGTCCTTACGTACAGATATCACGCAAAAACATCGTTAAATTGCATTCGATAGCTGTCAAAAGGGATATTTTCGTTGAAATATGCTGCCTGTACCTTTTCGCGATTACAATACTTCCTTTTTACTTCGTACAAGGAAGTAAAAATACCTAATATCTCTACAACCTGTTCAATAAAGTGTAACAGAAAGTTCATGTTCTAAATTGAAGCGTACTTAAATTATACTAGCCACGGTCGTTTGATTTGTGGTTGAATACTATCTTTCTTATATTAGAAATGCAGGTCCAGTCCGTAAGTTGTTGTATATTTAGGACTAATAGCAGACTGCTATTTAATTTTATTTTTATTTTTATCTTGATTTTTGATGTAATCGGAATAGTTTTTACATATTTTAACACCTTAATGTGTCATTTTGTGCGGACGCGTCGGGAAATTGTAACAGAGAATTGAGACTAATAAATTTTCTAAGACACTTTGTCTAATTAAAAATTTTGTAGCCAAAAAGTTTCAATTGTCTGTTTCGGCGAAACCCGTAATGGAGTTAGCTTGATTCGACGTTCAATTAGAAATTTCCCTTGAAAAGCCAGATTGGACTTCGAATTCAGCTAATTTACCATTTTCCACTTTAAATTTTTATCTTTTTTTATCTGATTTTGTTTGTTTTATGTTTTAACTTGTTCCATCGTTTGATTTTCATATGTTTTAACTTTTCAAGTGTCACATCGATAGGTACTTTACTGTATCTTTTGCCATTACTAGTTTCCAGCGCTTAGTATTTTACTGTGTTTATTTTCTCGTGTAGCATAATTTCTCACCCTTCAATGACATTGTTTTTTTAAAATGTGTTGAACTTTTCTTGGAGCCACAGCTCCTGGTAACTTTTAGGCGAGCTTTCTACAATTTCTTATATTAGAAATATATACCTATTGCTCTGTTTTTTAGTTATGTGTGTGGGTGAAGAAATCTATCAAGAATGTGTTCCTAAGTGCAATACCACTTGTCGCAATTATGGAGATCCAGATTGTCAGGAAGATGGACAGTGCTATCCCGGATGCTTCTGTCCTCCAAATTATGTTATGAGTGACAGTCGTTCCTGCGTACACGTGGAGGAATGCTTCCAAAGTAAGAATAACTCTTCGTTTTATACCTTGGAAAAGACCAGTCAGATATTTTGATTTTGAAAAAAAAAAAAAAAAAAAAAAAAATTATAATTTGTACTTGCGAAATAATAATGTGCAAATAAATAAATTCATTAATCCAAAGGGGCAATTTGCCCAGAAGAACTATTAATTTCGATTTGGTATTTTGCGTCGATTCACTGTAAATGTCTGTTCACTTTTCAAACTGTTGCCACCAAATATTAGAGCCCTGTGTTATATTTAAAAAAATTAAATATTGAAGAATCTGCATGAATGTAGGTAAGTTTCTCGCACTGTGATAAAACAGCGGTACCTAGAGCGACACAATTTTGAATAACGTAATCTTCCACAGAACAGGGGCAACTAGTAGCTCAAATTTGGAATTTGAAATTTGTTTTATTATCCTTTTCATATTTTGTAAAACATTAACGAATTTTTGATTAAGAAACTCGACGATTTCAAAGCGAGCAATGGCAACACTGTAAAAAAAAAAAAAAAAAAAAAAAAAAAAAAAAATTACCTTCAGTGCGCGAGATTGTATATCGGAAATTCTACGCTCATGCGATATTGCTGTTGAATTGAATTTTATGGTTTAAGTGCGAAGAACATGACATTTAATAAATAAACGTAGCACACAAAACGTTAAAAAACGCGCCTTTGTTCGTAATGTAAAATCTGAAGGCCTTTCGGATTTTATTTATTTTTTTTTATTTAATTTACTTAATAAGACTGCATATGTTTTAAATATCCCAAACGAAGTTGTTCGTGAGATGGTTGCAGACGTGCCGTAAATTGAAATTACTCACTAAAAATATACATATATCAAAATTATATCTATGATAAATAGACTCGTTGACGAATAAATAACACAACAGGAAGTCTCAAAGGGGTTGTGATCTGAAATTTTATGTATTAGAAAGATGTAAGGCTAATCACAGTGAAAGGATATTTAGATATGCTATTTATTTTCAACAACCAATGCTCGAGTAAAAAGAAAAAATCTTAAAGTTACATAAATGAGCATTAAAAGTTGAATACTGGAATGAGGAATACTAGTACTACTTTTTATTACAGAATTCATTCAATTGCGAAGTTAGCCATCTCGTGAATATATACAGAAATTCATAATAGATTTTCTAAAAAACGTTGTAAGAATTTTGTTAATTTTATTAACAGTTAAATTTTGAGTTAAACTTCCTTTCCTATCGCTTCTTAATTTCAACTTACCACTTCCGCCCGGAACGTAGTTTTAGAATCACGTCTGAATACATAATGAGGAAGAGCGGTATTTAACCGGAAAGTTCTTAGGTCTTAGTGAGAGAGATACCAGGTATTCTGGGTAGCACACGTCCGCCTTTTTAGGCTACTCTCTCGTAAGCTATTATTACTCTAGGCCGTACTTTGGGCCCTTGATAGCTTCGCAGTCATTTAGCGTTAAGGAGACAACTCCGTTAGAATCTTAATAGCTTCGGCTATATCTCTTTAGTTAAGACTGGTCTAGTTTAATTCTTAGTCTCTCAACTTCAAGCCTGAGTGTCGGCTTTATTGTAAAACCCCAAGAAGGTGTTCTGTTAAATTTTATTTGAATAATAAAGGGTCTTTTAACCCTTTCCAAATTTATTTACTGTCTCACGAACTCAAGCCATTATTCACTTACTAGTCCATAAGATTCTTCACATTCAACTGTAACTTAAGGTATGTAGAGAATCCTACAAGGTTTCAAAAACCCTAATACACTGGTTTCCAAAAATGAAGATAAGGTCACAAAAACAGCGATAACTCAATCAAAAATAAGCCAATCTGTATAAAATTTGAATATGTTGTTAAATGAGAGCTGCTGAGTAAAACTGCAGTTCTTAAGGGACTCATACACCTTAAACCCCTCATGATCTTCGAATATGTGACTGTTGCAAGAATTGGGATATTTTATTTTTTTAAAGCAATTACTTCCAACTTTTCTAAAGCTGACTACATAATATAGCTGCTTTAGAAACTAGTAACCAGAAAGTTTATGTTGCCACAAATATTTTTGTAATTTAATCCTCTTTGTGACAAAATATTTCGTCATGTTTCCACCTTTCGCCCATGATATTTGAAAAATGGCTAATGGTACATACTTGAAATTGGATGGAATTCTTTATATGGGCACTATTTTCGAACTGAACCAACAATCTGATAAATATTTTAATACTGAAAAATTTTATGGACGAAAACATTACAAATTTGTTAATAAATACATTTATAAACTCGACTCAAAATAAATAAAAATTGAACATGAAATTTTTAGAATTTTAGGTTCAACAGTAGTTTCCAATGTTATAAAAGCTATATATTGAATATGGAATTAAATTATGAAACAGAATGTTTTAAACTGTGCGCGCAAGTTGGAAACATGACGAAAAATGTTGTCACAAAGCGGATTAAATTATAAAAATATTTGTGGCAACAAAAACTTTCTGATTACTATTTCAGAAAGCAGCTACATTATGTAGTCAGCTTTAAAAAGTTGGTAGTAATTGCTTTTAAAATAAATAAGTTATTCCAATTCTTGCAACAGTCACCTATTCGAACATCTTATGGGTTTTAAGGTGTATGAGTCCCCTTAAATTAGTGAACTTTGGAAACAATTTCTAACCACAGATTTGGCATCCAGGCGATTCTGCCAAGGATCGCCAACTACTACTGCGAGCGCCGACGACGATATTTGTTTCTATGCGCACGAAGGAATAGCACATCAACTCAGAAACTCCTTTGCTTCAGCCACTGGGAAGTTAGCGTCAACGTCAATCGTGCCTAGAAGGCTTCAAGAAGGCGGTCTGTACGCGAGGCGACCAGCCATTTGCATACCATTCACGCCACCTCTTAGAAGGGAACATTTGAGGTGGACACGTCAACATTCCCACTAAACGGCTAGTCAATGGAGGGCTACGGATGAGTCCAGGTTTAGCCTCCAAACCGACAGTAGACGTTATTTGATTTGGAAAGAACCTGGAACCCGTATCGTCCATCAAACATCCGTGAAAGAGATGCATACGTAGGAAGCAGTGTCTGCGGTTGGGGTAGTATTCTTTGGGTGGAGTTACAGACCTCCATGCCTTTCTACGTGGAACCATGAATGTTCAGGACTATAGAGATGACATCTTCGATCCTCATGTGTGCCCATATGTCGAGGCAATATGTAATTTCCTGCTACAGAACGACAGTGCTAGACTGCAGAGTGCATCGTGGATGATTATCTTCAGCAACAAAGAATGCAGCGCAAGGAGTGGCCAGCACGATCATCGAATCTGAATACTATCGACCATGTCTGGGATCCCTTAGGAAGATGTATAACTGCTCTCAATCCTCCTCTTCAGACCGTTGCCAGCTTGCAACTTCTTTGCAAGAGCAATGGCTTTCACTTCCCACGGAACTGATGGACTGCATAATTGACAGCATCGTACATCGCAGTATGTGTGCATTTCTTCTAAGGAAGATCTTACTCCATATTGAAGACGGCTCTCCTGTACCAAACTGACACATCCAATTTGTTCTTTTTATACATATTCTAATTTATATAACACCATAACTGTCTGGAAATTTCTTTTCATGCTATTTTATACCTTACTATGTGCCATTTTGAGATTTTTCTTAGTTAATGATTACCAGTGAACTATTAAGAAACTCTTTACAGTAACAAGTAAATTCGCTTAAATTTTATTCCAAGAGTTTTACGTTAAGGACAGATTGATAGTTAGAGGACCTCGACTTGCTGAGGTGTAGCATTTGAGGAGCATTTCGAGGCATTCTGCTGCCAGTTTTGTTGTTTCTAGGAAAGATAACGGGATTATGAAACATTTTGGAAGGATTTTGAAACTGTACAACAACAATTAGCGGATGCTTATATGTAACCGTACTTACATAACGTTCTAAAACATAATAATTAAAACTACTAACGCATGAAAATTTAAGTATTTACTTTTCATCTTCTAAGTTTTGTGCACTGAATTTCAAATGTTTAGTAACGAAAACAAGCTGTAGCTTAACTTGATTTTTCTTTTTAGTCTAATAAATTAATTTTAACGGGAAATTGAAACAATAATCAAAAATGTAATTTAGAAGAACCATCTTTATTGCAAGAAAATAAAGTTACTAGCTGCAGTTAAACTTCACCTAGTTAACTTTAAATTTTATTCAAGTCACTCTCAGTTACTAAGATTTTTTTAAATCCTGTAATTGATCTACTAATGTTACTAACATAGGCTCTGTTTTCTGAATAGATTCAACAACGGAAGATCCCATGGACACTAATGAAGGAAATGAAAATAATTCGACGACAACTACGGAAATTACGTTTCAAAAGAATGACGATTCTGAAGACAAAACGTCATTGGACACCCAACAAACAACCGTTATGACATCAGCCAAAGAAGATACTACAACCAATGATTTCAATACATACTCAACACCTACTACCTTAAGTAGAACAGAAATAACAACTATTAGCAATGTCTTTGAAACTTCTACTACTTCCAAAGGATTGGACGAAACAACACCAATACCAGAGAATGACGAGGAAAATATTTAAAAACACTTTTTACAGTGTACTATAACTTTATGAACATTTTAGTACTCTTCTGTGTCGAGCAGAAACTAGAACAACCACCAGCGTCTCAAATTATTCTTACAATTATGACACCACCAAAGATGACGAGGAAGATAACATGAAGATACGTTTTGTTACATTCCTTTGTGTTTTAAAGGCATTACAGCTTTCTAAATATTTTACCACTTTTTTTACGACTTACTGTGATCAAAGTGTGCATTTGAAACAATTACCATAAATTACTGCGTATTTTAAAGTTAAATTCCTTAACTTTCTCAAATCCTCGTTTTACCCACGGTTGCAGAAGAAGTACATGGTGTGCAACCGTGTGGTGCAGAATTCCGGATACAAATTCATAATTAACTTTCAGCTTTTAATATTTTATTGTAGGAAGAAAAAAGATTTGTAACTGAAAAATCCCTAATGAATCTTGAAATAGTATCATACTTAAAACGCTTTTATTCTGCGTTAAATGTTTTTAAAAAGTTCACGGATGAAATTAAACAGGAATTCATAATGCATATTCTTGTTTCTTGCATTTTAGAAAGATATACGTAATGTACAATTAGCAACCATACCTTGGGATATAAAGTAGTAATTAATTTTGAATTTTTATGAATTTTATTTTTTAAAAAAATTTTGTAATTCTAAAAGTCACCAGTGTTTTCACGTGGCTTTATATAAACATGTAGCATGCTTTTATTCTGTATGAAATTTTATAAAACAAATTTATATTGCAATTAAAGAAGAATGTATATCGTATTTTGGATATTTTAGTTTTTGACGCCTCTACACCGCTGGCGCTTTACAGTGTTCTCAATTCTTTTATCATTCATTCTTTATTCTTTTCTTCCTTTCTTTTTACTTCCCTGTACGAAGTAAAAAGGAAGTATTGTAATCGTGAAAGGTTTCAGGCAGCATATTTCAACGAAAATACCCATTTTGACCGCTATCGAATGCAATTTAACGATGTTTTTGCGTCATATCTGTACGTAAGGACAGAATAAATACTCTTTTCCTTCAAAAAATTAAAACTGCTTTAAATAAATTCTGAAGAGAATCTTTCGTGGCGTCTGTACGAACGTATGTACGTACGTGCGTACGTACGTATCTCGCATAACTCAAAAACGAGTAGCCTCAGAACGTTGAAATTTTGTATATAGGACTCCTATAAACATGTAGATGTGCACCTCGTATTTTCGTTGCATCGGCCGCACCAAACGTAATAAATATATTTATATATATATCCCTCTATTACCCGGCTCAGTGATCTCAGTTTCTTACTCTTATATGTTTTGTAAATTGTACATTTTTTTCTTTAAAATGATTCAATTATATTGTTTTTATCTTCCGGTTAAGGATTTTATGCCTTTAGTAAATCTGTGTGCATATTTTAGAATTATCAGTAATTTTAAAGTTGTTTAATTGCCGCTAAGCCTGTTTTTAATGGCGGCCATTGATGTTTACATTTGAAACAGGAGACTAGTGGATTTGTTGCCAATCTAGAGAAGCTAGCTTCGCAACAACAAAGATAATGCAGTCATTTTATTGCCTATTAAATCATGCTAATGCTTTCTGGAATTTTTTTCGAGGAAATAAGCGTTTGAGATTTATTCGTAATTTTAATATGATATTTTGAGTTTTTATGTATTTTTGCCTTCTCGCGAAGTGATAACTGAATTAATTAAATGAGAAATACTCAATCGTCTGTGAAGAACTGTTTCTTTTTTGTTTTGTTTGCTTAATTTCTTTTATATATCGTTCTAGCTTTATTATAGTATTTGAATAGAACATGTGGCAACGATTAGATAATTCTTTAAATGATATACATTTTGTGCACTCTGAGTTATAATATGAACGAAATATATTACTGTTAAGTAAACCTAGCGCCAGAGTGTGGCTATGGTAAACAAAGTGAATTTTAAAGAATGCATTTATTCTATTGTGGTTTATGCGCTGTCGTGGAAGTAGGTTTAATTGAATCTAATAAGTTTAAATAAAATGCAAGAAAAAATGCGTATAATTTAATATTCTGAACAAGGAAGTCATGTGGTGTACACATCCGATTTGTTTTATATATGAGAGAAAGTTTTATGAAATGTTAATTTTTTTTCCAATGCAGATTTCTTTTAATGGAGACTAATAATTATATTTAGAGTCATCAGTAACATTTATACATAGTCGAACACAAACCAGACAGTACTTTTCAAGCGAATAAACTGATCTCTAAAAAAGACAACTGTTTTTTAATGTGATCGCTGTTATTTTCCGGTAAAATGCCAATATTTATATCGCTTAAGGCATTTCAATAAGTAGCCTTGTATTTTTCGCAAAGATAAAGAGCAACATTGTATTTTGCATAAAAAATAACTAACTGCTGATACTGATACTCAAACCGCAATTGCACTGTATACTTTTATTCGAGTTAAAACTGCTTTGATTCTGTGTAAAATATCCAGAGTGTTGCTTCTCAGATTCAGAATACATTTCCCAGTACTACCACTATTTAGTACAATAGTGTATTCATGTCCCCACGACAGTGCATCTTCTGTGTTTTTGCGACAAAGTTCTTTCTTCCTCTTTACCTCAAGCATTCCTGGTGTTAAGAGGAAAACATCTTCGGCTTGCAATCAGAAAATCGGGGATCCAGTCCACGCGAGGGTATTGCTGATTTTCTCACCTTCTAAAATTCCTAACCGTGTTACGGTAGCTATTCTAAAAATTCTCATGATTCTACAGTGGTGCTCGAACTAAGCGGTTGCAGAGTCATTAGATTTTTTGAAGTAGGATACGTGAAATATGAGCAATACCCTGGCCGGGACTCGAACCTGGACCTCTCGAATACTCGCTGAGCCTGCTAACCTTTACACGTGCCGATGGTGTTGGTGTATTTAATTATGGCAAAGCACACTAGGGCTATCTGCCTAAGGGGAGGGATGCCTTTCGTGGAGGACTTTCTAAGGGAAACTGGCTCGTATACACGTTACACATGGGGAAAACCACAAAAACGCCCATGCAGCCAGCCCGTTCGCGGGATTCGAACCTCGGACCGAACTACCAGTGTTCAGCGACTCTACCGCTCGGCCGCTGGTGGGCCGCTTTACACCTGCCGAAAGGAAGGAGAAAATACCACATACTTCTCCTTTTAAAGGGCGACTGGGGATTAAGGGACCCTATCGCCAAATCCTGGTGGTGAAGAATTATCATCCACCACTTTTAGTTCGGGCGACACTCTCGATTAACTCTTTCGCATCGAGAGGCGACCAGACAAAGAATCTCTAAGGAGAAGAAGTAAAGGTTCCCCGGGGCAAATGTGGCTCCGTCAGACCGAAGAGACACATTATGTATATTCCTGAAGCTTACTTTAAAGGGGCACCATTCCAAGCTATCACCCTCCGTACCTCACTGCGCATGTGAGCCTCACTCCTTAGAGAGTTTGGCAGATCTGTTTTCATTAAACATCGAAAACGCCCGTGTTTACGAAGTTTTCTTGGAACGTTTTCCTTTACCCTGCCTGGTAGATAGCTACACAAAATTACATACCTACTGATACCGCTTCTCTCATGGGGTTTTTCAGCGGTTTCATCCATTGTGTGCAGTTTCACCTTGGAGCCGGATGCACCTGCGAACGTTAATAGCTTTCCGTAATGTCTCCTTTAGTTGCTTCAAAAGAATGATGACATGTCTCTTAACAACTCGCGAAACCAATGAGCCATACACTAACGTGCATGGAGGCAAAGAATCTCTAAGAATCTTCAAAGAATCTTCTTAGAGATTCTTTGCCAAAACATTAGGTCATTTACCATTAAGTTCAATGGGTTTTGACGCGATCGGATGTAAGTATTTTGTAATTACGTCCTAAATATACATATAAATGTATATATTTCTTTTCTAACACTTCAGAGTTCTAAGTATATGAAAACAACATATTTTTAAACAACATTTCATTCTGAACGGAATTAGTGCTATACTTTTCGCAGAAAGTTTTCTCAGAATGGTCTAATTTGAATGAAATATTTTCGCAAGTTTTCGTTAATTACCTTAGAAAAAAATTAAGGTAATTCGATTTGATTCGGTTAAGGTTAAAAAAAAATGAAGATCAAAGTATTGTTTGTTAATATTAAAATTAATGCATTATTTCTTTCATTTATAGCTTCTTTCTAAAATACTTTCTTAAATATGACATGATTTTTTGGCTTCTGAGATCTTTTAAATCGAAAAATTTATAATTTATAATTAATGCCTATTCGGTTCATTTTAAATTAGAGAATTATAGAAATTAGCGAAATACTTTAAATAGTACCTAACTTTCTCTGATCATTTCGAAAGGAATAAAATAAGGATTTTACTTTTAATTAAACCCAAATAAGTAAAACCGTAGCCAAATGATATTTTTCAGATATATAAAATTAAACGATAAGTTTTAAAATGAGCACAGTAAAGCTCTCCTCTAAAAACTTTAAAAGGTACACGTTACAATAATATAGATGTGAATAAATTTATTTATTTAAAACTCGGCGTTTGGAACATAAAATAAAAGTAGCGAATACTCTATCAAGGGTATCGAAAGAGGTATACAATTTAAAGTACCGTTGTAGGATCTTAGTTTACTAACGTTTATTTTTTTAAATCTTTACTATCACTTCTTTTCTACTTCCGGCCAGAATTATAAGCGTGAAGGAGTTTATGCAAGTTGTCTGGCGAACGCCAAGTATTTGAGTGGCCTTTGCCAAGCAGAGAGAGGAAGCCGTGAGTTCGAAGAGGCCGCTTACCTTAGAATTACGCAGTTGCTACTTTGCCTTCCAGGCCAGAGTTTTTAATCCTCTTGATAAATTAAACGTATTGTAGTGTTCACAGTCTCTGTGCTACATACGCTTTCTGTTTATAAGGCCATCTTATTTTAAAGTTAAATTAGAGTTTAAGTTTTTTTTGATATCTTTTAAGTTAGACCCGAGTGGAGGGTCATTGTATTCCGAAGTACGGAAGTCATTGTATATAAAGAAAAAATAAGGGTTTTGTATACCCTTCGTCTGTATCCTGTCTACTATAAATAGTGAACATAGCTTTAGTAAGCTCTCTGTTCTAGTCAGGTCATTGTATGTTTCCGAAGAAGTAGAAGAAACATTGAACCTGATAGTGGCGCCCGACGAAAAAACCATGGCCGAGTCTCAAGAAGACCTGTGCTGGCAGAACAGCTCAGAATCCAGAAATCCAGCTGCCGCCCTGGAAGGATTGGGTATATTGTCCAGACCATGCGCCTTCGATGAAACCAGAAGCAACGTTTCATGGAAACTCACAGGTAACCAGTTTTTGGAAAAATTGGATGACCACTTCATGCTCTACCCCGTGCACGAGTTTCAAAAGTTACCTTAGCTACAGCGCTTTGAGGGCCAAGCGCTTAACTGGTTCAAATGTATCGGCAGAAGTCTCTTGGGTCAAGCAGGAAGTCCCACCTATACCTACGAAATTTCAAAGACTGCCCTACTAAAAGCCTTCCCTGTTGTAAGGGATCGGGCGAAATTAGAAACAGAACTTTTCAGTATATATCAACAAAGAATGGAAAACATGTCGAGTTTTATTTTAAGAAAAATTCACGTTTTCAAGCTCTTGTATGGAAACCGTCCGGATCCTGAATAATTCAAGTGATTTTGCGAGGTTACTACCCAAGTGCAAGACTTTATTGAATTGAAATCCGCTACACTGGAAAAATTATTTGAGCTAGCAATCCAGTTTGAAAGTAGAAGAACGGCGGATGTCGAAAG